TTTGTACGACAATGAAAAGTCACACATGATACTCAATCTGGTATTTACACAAACAATTGCGGTATATTGTAAATGACATTGATATTGTTATGTCAGATGTTTTTGCTGTAATACCCTAATTCTCCACTTATTTTACTTCATTTTTTTAGATCCAGGACGCGACCAATGGAGTCGTTTCTGTTAGTGTGACCTCTGAGATCTTTGTAAGTATAAACATCAAAATGGACATTCACTCCTCCTAAATGACTTTCCTTCTATTGCAAAAACAATTGCGGTATATTGTAAATGACATTTGTTATTCCGCACCGGTATTACCTCGTACAGGGCTACAGGTCCAGCTCTCCGTTACTCGGGTTCTAACTGCCTACAGGCCCATGACCTAATAGGATTCTATGGAACTGCTTAAGGTGGTGTTGAGGAAACTCGCCTAGCTTCTTACTGCCTTAATCCAGACGTCTACCCCGCTTCTTCTAATAGGTAACCCAACTACGTAGCCTCAGTAGTTAAACCACCCATCAAACACGGCTGTTAATGGCAGCGTTCCTCTTAATGGAACGAGCACTTGGTGAATTGCTAGGACAAATTTAGAGGTTTGGCAAAAATAACCCCAGGGATATGTTCAAATCAGGCCAGCTGACAGCCTTCCCTGGGCCCGGGACAAGATGATATTAGATGCCCCCCCCTCCTCCTTGCCTCCTCTTATTCTCCTCTATTCTGCTTTCTTTACATCTCTTTNGAACAAATCGAGAACAGGCAAGATCCCGGCGTCCTAACCAGGACGTGAACTGGCAACCTTCTAGCTGCGAGGCAACGGTGCTAACCACCGAGCCACCACGCAGCCCATATCCAAAGTCACTGTTCACTTTATTTGTAAGCTTTAAATGTGAAAAAAAATATATTGAGTTCTGCTGACAGTAGCTTAACACAGATTAGAAGCATGTATGTGACTAATCAGTGTGAAAACAATATTCCTATGCAGCAGGGTTTAGCAGTGAATATGCTATAGCTCTGTTGTTGTGATGCAAGTGTGCTGTGGAAATAAACATCACACTGAATTTACAATCAATATTTCCCCCTGCAGCCTTAATTAATGATCAGCGTTTATTTGTTCATGCATAGCTATTGGTGAATTTACAGCATTTAGGGGCAGTTACTCACGTCATTGCCAACATTTTCAATGCAAAGCCTTCAATGTAGAAAGTCTTTGACAAAACATTTACGCTCCTGGATCAGAACTGGCATCACGATCACAGTTATAATAGATTTTTACTTCACACCACATTAACGATCTGCTCACATCTCAGCAGATGCTATATCATCATGCTGCTCTGAACTCTGTAAAGACCTTTGTGTTCCAATGGATGAACCACTCACAGTGTGCGTGCATGTGTGTGTGTGTGTGTGTGTGTGTAGAATAACAGACAAGACTGCAGTTCCAAAAAATTCTGGCGATGGATAAATATTTGATTTGAGTGTTGACACTATCCTGCCTGATTGTTTCTGAATATGAAAGTGTCCTCAGAGGATCCCCCGACAGCTTCTACAGTCACATCAGTTCCCACAACGTACACTGCCGGTGGAGTGAGTAAAAAGAGGAAAGGTAGAAGAATGTTACAGGTTCAAATCACAGTATTCTGGTCTAGAGAATCCTATTTTGACAGTCCTGGCAGAAGCACAATGAAATTGGGCTTTCTTGCTGACCTCTTGCACTGAAGCAGCTGGAGCGAAAATTACTGACTTGGCAGCTTCCCTACATGGAGCATCATGTTCTCAATAACCAGAACCACTACATTAAGTATTTAAACAGCAGCTTTTAACATTTGCATCTTTCATATTTGGAATGTCCAGCAGCGATCTTTAACTTTTGAACACGGAGTCTGTTTTAGACGAGTCGTTTTGTCTTGAGAGCATCCATACTAAGGGAACTCACCGGTATATTACCAGTCGTCAAGCATGCTACGATAACACGTAGCTGTGAATAGGGATGTCACCGTAATTGATATTTCAGAGTCAATACCAATATTCTGAAAATATGACTGTACTTATTTTCTATGGTACTAAAGGTACCGAAAGTCCCGCAGCTGTCAGAGGTAAGCTACCGGAGATTGATTCTCCAGAATGGCATCGACGAGTACAGGTGGAGAACAGGTCCTCTGTGACTTGTACCGGCGTGTATTTATGGAGATATTGATTGTTTTATTCAAAGTTAAGGGTCAGGTTAGAGAAAGTCAGAATATAAACGGTGTCACATTTGGAACAAAAGCAGGAAAAATCTTATCTAAGCAGCTTGAAGACTCGTTCAGATCTGTATGTAGAGCTCAACGTGAGAGTTTACAGTTGTTCACTTGTATCAACAACATGTTCACGTCCTGAAATCTGGTGCGACAGAACGGCAAGCAAATGGAGCCTTTATCCAAACGTCACAAACGCCGCTTTAGCTGTAGTTCATTTATTTGCCAGTTAGAAAGCAGCGCAAATGCTGTTGATGTTATTAATGGTGTCAGCGCTCGCTTTAACACATACCATAAATCTGACATGATGTAACGCTATGACACGACTGCCAATAGCTGCTGTGTGAGCTTGTTTTGAAGTTTTTATATCCTCTGAGTGGCCAGAGATTGATTCATTGCAACTTTAACTCGAGTTCAGGGTTTTAACAAGATGCTTTCCGGTAACACTTTCGATTTGCACCTGCAGGGGGTGTAAAATATCAGCACTGATGAGCCCAAATTGTAAGAGTCGATGGAAAAGCAACCACAAGGGCCGAGATTTAACAGATTTTTATACCAAGCAAAAATCCCAGCTGGCTGTTTCTCTGACAAACACAAGTGTCGGACAAAATATTCATTTCTCTGTTCACTTCCGAACACAAGCATTTACATCAAAAGTTTCCTCCATTTTCAGATTATATCAACTCTGTGTCATATAAATTAATGCAAGGATGGCTTCATAAACACCAGGATGGAATTAAATGTCCTCCAGGGCCTTTTCCTCTCATCAGGGAGGTATTACACCATGCAGGCTGAGAAATGTGAGACTTATCAATGACAGTCTCACTTTAATAAGTGTGACTTCCAAGTCTGGCCTAGAGCAGTTTCATTAAACAAACGTGCGACTTCTGCAGCGAGGATTAATGAAGCTGGGCTTGTGTTGTCAAATGACACGAAGCAGCAAAGAACAATTCCAGTCACTGACGGCAGAAAGGACTGCAGAACAATGCACGGTGTCCTTCACAGCCGCAGAGGTGATAGTGCAGTTTGATGAACTCTGTTACCGGAGATAACAACCAAAACAGAAGCACGGCGCTGACGGTGTTTTTGTCTGCCAACCACATCAATCTGCATCAAAGCCAAACGCAGGCCTATAATCATCTCATCACTCTAAATTTGCAGTTTCTAAATCTTTGCAGACCTTAAATATGCCTATTTATTCTAACCTTAGTGTGGTAGCTTCCCCAATGGCTGCCAACAAAGTAAATAAAACTGTGATCCAGCTTCGGGAACAGAAAATGTTAAAGCACAGACAACAAAGTATTCGCATGAGATAAAGAAAACAGGTCACACTTTAGTCATGACTTTACAGTAAGTTTTAGCCACAGTGAACCTTAAACTTGATTCATGCTCTTGTGTTGACTTGCTGCAGAGCCCACGCCATAATTTTCTGTATAGTGATGATTTATTTTAATAAAAATGTGCTGACAGCTGTGATGGAGCTCCAGATTCAATGCAAAAATATCACTTTATAAACCTTGATGCTGAACTCATGACCTGTCAGTGTGTATAACAGAAGATAGAACATAATGAACCAACGGACTCTGTTTTAATGTAAGTTTCTGCTGCTGTGCTGAGTACGTTTGTTTGTTAATGTTCCTGCAAAATCCTGAATCCTCTGTGAAACCTGAGAAACCTCATTGTGTCAGATATGAATCATACTAATAGCTGTATGTTGACAGACATGCAGTCGTCCTCACATGTATTCAAACCCTTCCATTGAAAAAAAGGCAAAATTCACAGTAATCACTCTAAAAACTAGGAACTGAATAAAGTTCTAAAAAATAAACATTTGTTAAATGACAATTTAGTGAAATAAGACATTGCTTTTGAATTGTGGTTGAAAAGAATCATTAAAAAAAAAAAAAAACTTTCTGTTTCTATTTGTATTTCTGTTGAACCGCAATTCAAAAGCAATGCCAAGATGTTCATTAAGTCTTTATTTATCATCACTTTTGTCAATTTCAACTTATTTCAGTGACAGCTTTTTTTTTTTCCTTCTTTAATGGGAGGGGATGAATACATTTGAAGATGACTGTAGATCAGGGGTGTCCAATCCTGGTCCTCGAGGGCCACAATCCTGCATGTTTTAGATGTTTCCCTCTTCCAACACACCTTATTCAAATGATCAGCTCATCATCAAGCTCTGCAGAAGCCTGATAACGATCCTGATCATTTGAATAAGGTGTGTTGGAAGAGGGAAACATCTAAAACATGCAGGACTGTGGCCCTCGAGGACCAGGATTGCCCACCCCTGCTGTAGGTGGTGCAGTGCTGCCTGGAAACATGATGTACCTGTGAGGCCTGGGTGATGACGTGTGATGCTGAAAGGCCTGAAGCACCCTATGACCACAGGAAACGTCACTGATGATGTGTTCAGGTGCATGAATTTGATGTATGTTAAAAGAAGCCTGAAAGAAATCCTACAATGTGAGGGAGAAGTAAGACCTCCCGGTAGGACACACCCGGAACAGCTCCCCAGGGAGGCGTCCAGGACGTCCCATCAACCTGTCTTTCCCAATATACAGCAGAAAACATGTTAAATCTGTCCTCATTTTATGAAGTCCATCCATCCATCCATTATCTATACACCGCTTAATCCTCTGTTAACAGATATCTGTAGATATTTCCATATTTTTTTCAATATATTTCTGTTTATTGAGGAAAAAACGTGTGTGATTTCAATTATACACATGTTTGGACCCTAAATGCAGCAGTGAACATGGTGCCAATGTCTTGGGTCCATCTTGTAGGTCCTGATGGCCACCACTGATTCTTTGGTCCAAATACATAGATCGTAGCCCCACATACTAATGCTCTTCAAAACCAAAATAAAGCAAAGGATTATGTTATGCCCCAGTCTAGGGGAACCTTTGGCATAACATGAATTTTGCTCCACACCAGTCTTTCCACTTCAGAGAAGGCCAGCAATCAAAACAAGCCAGGTATGAAAATGAGCAGGTTCTTTTATTTTTACAATGAAGAGGAGGAACATAGGCCAAAAATAACAAACAAAACCTGTTCCACATTAACCCTGACTTCCCTGTTGAAAAAGAAAACGCAAATAAAAGACAATAACTTACCTACCTATCTAGTAAGCAAAAAACAGTATAAAAAGGGTTTAAAAGAAAAAGGCCTCTCCCTCCTACTCTGCTCTCTATCTACAATTTTTACAAAGAGTCACTACAAGACTCGGAATCTGTTGCACACGATCTTGGAACAAACAAGTTACTGCTGCATCCTCCTGCAGTACAATCGCGATGGCCTGCTGGCTTTCTCTGAGGTGGCGAGGCTGGAGGTGAGGAGGACGAGTGCAGCTGGCGGGCTGTTCAAATAGTGGATGGGCCCGCCCTCTGACCAATCGTGTGGCTGGAATCAGGCGCAGCAGCAGGTGAGACAGCCAATCCAGGCTCACCACCTGGTCCTAATCCATTAGTTCATGCCACACACACGCACACACACTGAGGAGAGAAGCAAGCAGCAGACACAAAAACACTCTTGATGACCCACAGGGTCATAAGTTATGATAAAATGCCAATGTGACCATGTAATTGTTATGACTCATAACAACAACATGGCCACATTGGCATGTTATGAAAGAGCAGCAGCTGCAGTATATGGCAGTTAAACAAAGAAAAAGTACATCTGGGGAGTGGGAGATGTTGGTAGGGAGGTTTTTCTTTACAGGGCATGGATGATTGGATGAACCATGTGCCAAGAGATATGGACCTAAGTTTAAACCACAGTTCCTCCCCAACAGATAGCCATTCATGTTTTACTATTTAAATTAAATGTCTGTGTTTGGTAGCCAATCACCTTGTGTTTTTGTTCATATGAAGCTCCATCCATTGCTGGGGAAGTTGGTTACAGAGTAACACAGTGTTGTGGAGGTAAGCCTCGCTATGCAAAATTATCTGGATTGCCACCTACACTCTGAAAATAGCTTTTATCAAAGATTCGGATTGTGCAGAAGGCAGCCCTGCTTGGTTCTTTTGGTGTTAACTATTCCAGTGACAGTGATGGCTTCTCTGTATGTACATTTTCCACCAAAACCAAAGGTCCAACATCACTATTTTGCAGGAGCACCATCACTGCATCCTGCACTTAGCATCGCCCACAACAATAATGACTTCCCTATAATAATAATATATATAATTATATATATATTTCTATAATAATAATGACAAGTTATTGTTTTTCTCCACCTGTAGCAGGACGGTGATGAGGTACAGCCAGACTCCAGTGCTGATAGAATGCTGAGGAGATTGGAGATGTGAGAGAGTGGGACACTGACATGACAGAAGATTACAGAAAAATGGATTCAACTGACAATAAAAGTCACATATTCTTTGTACTTCTTTTATAAGATCTGAAGTCTCAACCTTATGCAGCCTGACTGAACATGTTGTGTGTAAAGAGCACTCAACAACCTGTTAAACTGTCATAAAGCAGGATGAGGTTTAATAGGAAGAGAAAAGGATGGACTTGTCAGACAACTCAAGTGAAACAAACAAGTTTGTTCTTGTCATTGTGAAGTTGGCTTCTTGCATGTTTGCTGTTAAAGACAATCCTGGTGATTCTCTGTACTTTATTACTTTACTGTCAACAAATTCCCTGGAAAGATAACAGTGAATTTGGCTGACTACCAAGTTGTGGGTGAGTATACTCAGAACCTCTGTGCCATGGAGCACCACTGTTGTCAAAAAGCTAGAATAGAATAGAATAGAATAGAATAGAATAGAATAGAATAGAATAGAATAGAATAGAACGTTATTGATCCCTCGGTGTAAACCTCAGGGAAATTGTACTAGGAAAAACAACACAACACCAACACAACATCAGCAACAACAACAATNAAAACTTCTAACTCAAATATTGCACTGTTTCTTTCCATTAATAGCCCTTCTTTGGGGAAAAAAAAATCCATAATTCAATGAGGGTCCAGTTCTGGGCCCCCCCGCCACTCTGGGCCCGGGACAACAGACCCGTTTGTCCCCCCCCCCTATCAGCGGGCATGGTTCAAATACTCTATTTACTTGTGACTTAGACTAACCATTAAGAACCACTAAAAGTTAATATGCACACAATTGCCTAACCATTTATCACCATCAGATACCTGTGAATGATTCAATAAAATGTCAACCCAAATTGTCTTTAATTGCAGGATTATATATTTATTGCAGATCTTTAGCATGGGCAAAGCAATAGCATTTGATTATTCACTCATAATTGATTACGATATGATTAAACCCAATTAGTTAAAAACAATATTAGAAACTGTGCTCAACTAGAACTAAAATAATGACAAGATACTTAACTTGGAGGGGGGGGAGCCTAACAGCCTGGCCGAAGCTGATCAACTCGGCTCCGTTGTGTCCTGAGCTAGGAGAGACCCCCTTCCTGCGCAGCAGCAACCCAGTACAGGGCCCTGATAGTCGGATAAAGTCCTCCAGCCAGGGGGAGATGAAGAGTTGTAACTCCAACCAGAACTGTAGTTGATTTTTATATTCCTTTGGGCAAAGAAGTGCAGCGGTTCTTCTGGCAGAACTCAGAAAGGGGTTCTGCCGTTCCTCTTCCGTTGTACTACAGTCCCGTTACAGCTCCTCCAAAGCGCACACAATTAACAGAAAAATGTTGTAAGTACTCCGATTTGCATCTAAGAGTCCCACAAGCATCCCTCGGTCTTCTGGTTAGTCTAGCCTGTCCATAAGGACACTGTCCTCATTTGCTCTTTTAACATCATTATGAACTCTACTTCATTTTTTAGACCCAGGACGCGACCAATGGAGTCGTCTATGTTGGTGCGACCCCTGCGATCTTTGTAAGTTTAAACATCAAAATGGACATTCACTCCTCCCAAATGACTTTCCTTCTATGTGCGCTAAATCCTTTTTGCAAATAGTTCAAATTTTACACATAAAAACTGACATATGTTACATTGCATTGACAATCATGTACTTGAAAGTAAAACACTGCACATTAGATTGAGATTTTGTACGACAATGAAAAGTCACACATGATACTCAATCTGGTATTTACACAAACAATTGCGGTATATTGTAAATGACATTGATATTGTTATGTCACATGTTTTTGCTGGAATTCTCTAATTCTCCACTTATTTTACTTCATTTTTTTAGATCCAGGACAGAACCAATGGAGTCTTTCATACTGGTTGGACCTCTGCGATCTTTGTAAGTTTAAAATGGATGATACTCAATCTGGTATTTACACAAACAATTGCAGTATATTGTAAATGACATTGATATTGTTATGTCAGATGGTCTAGCCGCAATACTCTAATTCTCCACTTATTTTACTTCATTTTTTAGATCCAGTATGAGACCAATGGAGTCGTTTCTGTTCGTGTGACCTCTGAGATCTTTGTAAGTATAAACAACATCAAAATGGACATTCCATCCATCATCTATACACCGCTTAATCCTCACTGGGGTCATGGGGGGCTGGAGTCTATCCCAGCTGACTCAGGGCGAAGGCAGGGGACACCTTGACAGGTCACCAGTCTATCACAGGGCTACACTTAGAGACAGACAACCAAGCACACTCACATTCACACCTACGGACAATTTAGAATCACCAATTAACCTCAACATGTTTTTGGACTGTGNGTGAGGCAGGTTAGTTTTACCGTACTGATGATGTGTTGTTGCAATACCAATCCTGTTCAGTACGAGAGGAACCTGAATCTGGTCAATCTGTGAAAAAGATCCTACAATGGAAAATGTAAAAAAACATTTTCAGTTATTCATCTGACTCGTGTCTTCAAATAAGTTCTTGAAGTATCCCCCTTCGATGTCCCATATTGGTCCACACAGGCGAGAGCTTGGATTCAGCTCTCGCGATACCGTCTTGATCTCCGACGTGACATCTTCCGGTTTTCTTTCCGTGAGTTCTGAAACTGTACACGAAGAAAAAAAATAGAAATGGTGAGCTGATTGGTGTCATCGATGTCCTTAAAATGCCGATGTTTGTGTATATGATTACTGAGGTGATAAAAACAGCATCTTGTTTGATCGGCTAACACGCAGCTACCACGGAGCTAACGCGCGATAATAGGAGTAAGAGTTAGCGTCTACGAATCCATTCGTTTTTCTTATTGTGTTAATGAAACTGGCATTTCAGGTCACACAATAGTTAAGCAACGTCAGAGTCTTTGTGTCATTGTGTTACAGTGAATTAGATTGTGAGTGGCATGTTGTCACGGTAATGAGGTGATTAGCACTGCCGCCATACAGCTAGCAGGCTGCATCCCGGGATCTTTCTGTGTGGCTTTTGTACTAAAATATTGCCTAAAAGCCAAAAGCATCAGCTTCTAACTATCATGTATGCAGTCAGAATGGGCTTAAAGTGAGGATAAGAGGTTAAATGTTGATATCGAACAACAAACGAGTTGTTTAAATACAAACTAACCCTGTCTTGCAGATTGTCTCAAGCGTCCGGCCATTTTGGGAGGAGGACTTGTCCCGTTCAGTAAGTTTTGCTATTTTTCCTTTTTGGCCATTATTGGTTCTTTGTTTTCTAAGATAAGACAAAACTTTATTGATCCTGAAGGTAAATCTTGTGCCAGCTATTGATGCAAATACAATACATTAATCAAATCAAATCAGCAAAGGAAAGGAAAAGTAATATTATAAATGATACGGATATTATTATGTCGGATGTTTTAGCTGTAATACGTCAATTCTCCACTTATTATGCTTCATTTTTTAGATCCAGTGTGACGACAATCCTTCTGGAAGTCGTGGAGTTATCGTTTATGATGATAAGACTTATCCGTTGACCTATGTAAGTATAAACACATCAAAGTGCACATTTACTCCTAAATGACTTTCCTGCTTTGTGCTCTAAATCCTTTATGGCTTGCAGCCTGTCAAAGCAAAGAAATGTCTACTTCAAGTTATTTTTCCTGTTTCAGGTTAAAGTAGTTAGGTCTGCAAGTAAGGCAGATTAACTCAAACACATCATGCTACACCTCTTTCTGCTGCTTGACGTGAAAAGAAAACTGGCGTTGTTCTTACTTTTCATGACTACTCTGCAGAGAGAAAAGCACTGCCTCCAATTTAAGGATTCTTTGATAAAAACTGTTAATTTTTCTTTATTTGCAAGACAACATTTTTTGACATGAAGGCTCCATATGTGCACAGCAAAGTGAGTGAGGAAGAGGAAAGAAACACTGAAAAGGAAGATTTGGTTGCAGCAAGAGATGCAATATCAGTTGCAGGACCGCACAATTTATGGAATAGTCATCATTTTAAAATGCACGTCCCTTGTATAAAACTCTGCTCATAGGAAACAGGCCGTGTACATAAATAAACTTAACTAAAACTATTTTATGTCTAGAAGATGCTCTGCTTCAGGTGATGAACCTCATTTTAAGTCATTTTCATGCAGGTTTGTACGTTAGCAAGAACAAGGTCCGATGTGGAACAGAAAGCAGAACTCTGTTGATTTAAATGTGAAAGTACAACAACTGCATTCTGCCTCAATAAATTGTGATGAATTAGCAAATTGTGATCTCAATACTGATCTAAACAGTAACAATAACAGATACTTTGTCAGCAGCGTCTTGTGTTGGTTACCTCTACAAGAAGCAGCGCAGCTACTCATTCAGAAGAACATTCAATTTTTTTTTCTTTATGATCTCGTGACCCTTGTCCTGTGGTGCTTCTGACCCTCAGCTTGGAGATCTGGCTTCATCTGCTGCGTCTGGTGGGAGAAGCAGGAGGAGGAGGAGGAGGAGGAGGGACGGTCCCGTCAACCTGAGGGAAACCACACCCAGAGCGATGGTACAGTTTATAGATTATGCTTCAGGGTGTAGATATTGTGCTTCACACAGCTAACATGTCCAACGAAAAGCAAGTGAATAATTCAATTTCATTTCATTTATATAGCGCTAATTCACAACTTATATCATCTCATAGCACTTCACATAGTGAGGTGAAGACCTTACACATTTTAAACAGAGAATCAAACAATCCAGAGTTGCCTCTGGATCCCCTATGAGCAAGTAGTCGGCAATGGTAAGAGGGAGGAAGAAGAAAAAAAAACCTCTCAGATAGAACCAGGCTCAGGGGACGTGGCCATCTGCCTCAACTAGTTGGGGAGAGAGTGTGAATGGTGGGGATAGCAGGACAGGTTGGGTGAGGATAGCAGGTTAGCCAATGGAGAGCAGCAACACAAACAGAACAATCAAGATGTTGGGTGTGTGTGAGGGCAGCGGCTGCAGATCAGAGACGTGGAGCTCCAGATCCAGAGACACCCGCAGAAAGAAGAAACCCAGAACCTCGGTTGAAACACAGAGTCACTGATATGTAATGGAGGTACATAACTGTATGGAAGAAAGAGAGAGGAGAGTTGAGGAGAGGAGCCCAGTGCATCATGGGAATCTCCCAGCAGTCTGAACCTATAGCAGCAGAGCTAAGGGACAGCTCAGGTGATCCTGAGCAGCTCTAACTGTAAGCTTCATCAAAGAGGAACGTTTTAAGCCTAATCCTCAAAGTAGAAATGGTGTCTGCCGACCGAATCCAAACTGGGAGCTGAAAACACAACATAGGAACCTGATAACTGAAGGCTCTGCCTTCAAACTCCAGGAACCACAAGTAGAGCGAAGGGCTCTGTTAGGATGATATGGTACAATAAGGTCTTTTAGATAAACTAGAGTTTATGGTTGATTAAAAAGTTTGGTTGAAGATTGCTTCCCCCTAATGTTAGCTAAATATTGACACATTGTTACTGTTAATATATTATGTGCAAAGAACCATGCAGGGATGTGTCCTAAGGCATCAAGATAATTCCCAAACTTTCCTAAAATATGTTCCCAAAATTTTGTGAAATTTAGCAGCGTCGCATCGTAGCTAGAAGATCCCCGATTCGTGTCCCGGTTAGGACGCCCAGGATCTTTCTGCGTGGAGTTTGCATGTTCTCCCCGTGCAGCGTGGGTTCTCTCCGGGTTCTCCGGCTTCCTCCCACACAGTCCAAAANGAAAAGGACGCTGGCGACCGCTGACTCATCTGCAGGAAATTCCTGCTGTTGACCGGATAACCGGAGCCTCCTCAGGAAGTACAGCCTGCTCTGTCCTGTCCTGTCTGTGTTGCATATCCAACTTGTTGTCCAGCCACAGCCCAAGGTACTTGTAGTTTTGTACAAGTTACAAGTAGCTAATAAAAAGGCATTAATGAGCCATGTTGTTCACTGATTTCTAGTATTTCTATCTTTTTTGTTGTTTTTTTTTTAATGCTTGGTTTTCCTTTTCAGTTGATGCAGCTTGATGAACATGTGATCAGCCTGCAGGGATTATTAGTGACGGCTTAGATGCCAGAAACATAAACATCCTTTTTGGACAAAACCCCATGAATAAAAAAAACATCTTTTTCTATTTTTATAATGAGGAATCTCTAAACTGTAGTATGAAAAGTCGAGAACAGAAAGCAAATGAGTTAACTGAATTAAACAAAAGACAAGACAGATTTTTTTTTTTAGTATTGCATAAAAGACAAAACTGGAGATATGATTAGGATGTCTAAATAAGGTTTAAGCATACAAAAAGATTCAAAATATGATGTGTAAGATTTGAGCATAAATAAATGAGGCAGTTTGATAATGTGATGTGTAGACAAACTGAACAAACTTATGAAAAAACCCAACCCAATAAAAAATCAACGGAAGTCTAAGGCTAGAATACAGCACATGCGCTCTCCCTCGCTCTGTGTTCCAAATTAGCAAACAATGACCGAAAGGTGGAGCAAAGAGAGGGGAAGGGAGTGGTGAAGCTGCAAAGTATAAAACTGCACAGTGGCAAGTACTGGCAGACAGCTGTCGCAAAAATCTGACTGGATTTTTTCCAGGTAAGGGGGAAGATTTCTGTATAAAATAAACATTATTCACATCAGACTCTGAAGACGGAAGTTTTTTTCCTCCCTGTAATTTTATTTTGAAGACCCGAAGTATTTAGATAAGGAGTGTTTTATGTATGTTTTGACTATGTTGCCTGATCAATTGTATTTTTTATATTGTCTGGGAAATTGTAGTGAATTCCTGCATTTGTTACTGGTGTTTAACAAACAACACGATACTTGAGTAGCTTTAAATAAATTAGAAAACAGGTTTACTTTGATTCTTGCAGTAAACTCACCCTTATATTTTATTGGCTGTTATTGGCTGGCATGTATCCTGAGGCCATGTTTAATACTACAGTGGCTTCAGTGGAAACACATACAGACAATGCGGATGTAGATGACAGCTCAGTCGTTCAGCAGGTGTTACAGGTGGTTGTCAGACAGGACAAGTGGGTACTTTGTCAAAAGGGAGTACATATTTGCATAGCATANAGTCAGCTGGGATAGACTCCAGCCCCCCCGCGACCCTAATGAGGATTAAGCGGTGTATAGATAACGGATGGATGGATTGAGGAAAGTAATATTGTAAATGACACTGATATTATTATGTCAGATGTTTTAGCTGTAACACTGCATGCTTCATTTTTTAGATCCAGGATGAGACCAACAGAGTCACTGGTGTGACTTTTGCTGTGATCTCTGTAAGTACAAACATCAAAGTGCACATTCACTCCTAAATGACTTTCCTGCTTTCTGCTCTAAATCCTTTATGGCTTGTAGCCTCTCAAGGCAAAGAAATCTAATCTACTTCAAGTTATTTTTCCTGTTCCAGGTTAAAGTAGTTAGGTCTGCAAGTAAGGCAGATTAACTCAAACACATCATGCTACACCTCTTTCTGCTGCTTTCTTGTTCTTACTTTACATCACTACTCTGCAGAGAAAAGTCTGCCAGACAGGTAAGCACTGCCTCCGATTCAAGGATTCTTAGATAAAATGATTTTTTTTTTTTACATTTATTTGCAAGACACAACGTTTGTTGACATGCATGCTCCATATGTGCACAGCAATATGAGTGAGGAACAGGAAAGAAACACGTCTTTGTTTGCAATATTACCATTCTGTACATGCTGCTGTTCAAACTGTTGTTTTAATGGCTGCTTTTTAATACATATTACATTTTTAATTTATTATTATTATTGTTATTATTATTATTATTAGTCGAAGTAGTCATATTGTTTGTATTATTATTATTGTATTGTTTTATTTTGTTATTTTATTGTATTTTTAAAATTAAATGAAATTTAAACACACACACATATTTATTTATTTATGTTTATTTTTCTAACTTATTGCTGTACATAATCTGTTGCTACCATCTGTGACTCTTGTATGGACACTACTACCGCCGCAGCAACACTCATGCTATTACTGCAACTACACATAATCTGCTGCTTTCACCCACCTTTTTGTGTGTTTTTTGTGTGTTGTTTTTCTTTCTCTTGCTCATTTTTAATGTGTCACTCTTTGCCCACCTAATTACCCCTTGAGGATAAGTAAAGTTTTTTTCTGATTCTGATTCTGAAAAGGATGATTTGGTTGCAGCAAGAGACACAATATCAATTGCAGGACCGCACAATTTATGGAATATTCCTCATTTTTAAGATGCACGTCCCTTGTATCAAACTCTGCTCATAGGAAACAGGAAGTGTACATAAACTTAGCTAAAACTATTCTGTCTAGAAGATGCTCTGCTTCAGGTGATGAACCTCATTTTAAGTCATTTTCATGCAGATTTGGGCATTAACAAGAACAAGGTCTGATGTGGAACAGAAAGCAGAACTCTGTTGATTTAAATGTGAAAGAAAATAACTACATTCTGCCTCAATAAATGATTGTGATGAAATGGCAAATTGCAATCTCAATATTGATGATAACAGATACTCTGTCAGCAGCGTCCTGCATTTTTTAACTCTCCAAGAAGCAGCACAGCTACTTTTTTTACACTTAGTACCACAAAAACATTTTCTTTCCAGTGCTGTGCAGCCCTGAGTAGAATTATCCAGTAATTCACAAGAACATCTGATTTATTTTCTTTATGATCTCGTGACCCCTGTCCTGTGGTGCTTCTGACCCTCAGCTTAGAGATCCGGCTTCATCTGCTGCGTCTGGTGGGAGAAGCAGCACACAGGAGTGATGGTCGCTTCAACCTGAGGAAAACCACGGCATGGTAAATACAGTTTTTAGATTATGCTTCAGGGTGTAGATATTGTGCTTCACACAGCTAACATGTCCAACGAAAAGCAAGTGAATAATTCAATTTAATTGTATTTATATAGCGCTAATTTACAACTTATATCATCTCATAGCACTTCACATAGTGAGGTGAAGACCTTACACATTTCAAACAGAGAGCAGATAACCCAGCAATCCAGAGTTGCTGTTGGATTCCCTATGAGCAAATAGAGGGTAATGGTAAGAAGGAACCAAAAATAGAAACCTTTAACAGGGAGGAAGAAGAAGAAAAAAAACTCTAAGATAGAACCAGGCTCAGGGGAGGTGGCCATCTGCCTTAACGAGTTGGGGAGAGAGTGTGGATCCTGCATGGTTCACCAATTAACCTCAGCATGTTTTTGGACTGTGTGGGAGGAAGCTGGAGAACCCGGAGAGAACCCACACTGCACGGGGAGAACATGCAAACTCCACGCAAAAAGATCCTGGGTGTCCTCACCGGGACGTATTTTGATGGTCAGCAGTTTCAATGACACTGTTTACATCATCAAAAACTGTTCAGGTGAAACACTAATGATGACCTCAGAGATTTGAGAAGAAAATCACAGTATCTTGGAATCAAGGCTAGACTTTTAAAAAAAAAGCTTAATCCTTCGGTTCATTAATTAATAGTTGACCATGATGGTCTCCACTCACTTGGGTTCACACAACCCATTTGGTCATCGAAGCTTCTGCTGGTTTCGTGGTCAGAAAGGTTCATCTGCAATAGCTCCATATCTGAAGATATTTAATGCCCCATGCTTTTCTGAAGAGTAAGCATCAAGTTAACAAATCACCTGGACTAATACATTTTGTTTTATAAAACATACTGACTTTCCTACTTTGCTTCTTTCTTTCCGTTCACATCGTAAAGCAACAAGTTGGCATTCTGGCAAACACACGTATCTTTCATCTTTAGATGAGAACACCAGGACCACTGTCATGTCTTCGTTTAGCATAAAAACTTCAGATGGTTTTCCTGGTTCTGTCTGAAAGTAACAAAACCTATTTACCAACAGCTGGGAATCCCACTAATCAGCACCTTCTATCGTGTTTCTTTGCGCATCGTGTAAGTGTGACATGCTTTCGTGGAGGTTTCGTGCCAGACTTTCGCCTAGAGCCCTGTCATCACTGTGAGGTTACCATGTGACCTGCAGAGACAATCAACAGCCTTATATTTTACTGAGATCGTACAGCGGTATCAATCCTCTCATCTTTCTCTCAGCAAAAAAGTTAGTCACTTTTTTGTTTTTCAAAAACGTTCAACTTTGGCTTTAAAGCAGCATTAATATACCAACAATAACCCTATTCACATGGAATAGTGTTTTTAAGGTGATGTGATTTTTCTGGCATCATCCATGGATATGGTACTGAAAGGCTCCCACAAAATTTCAAGATTTTGCAGTTCTGATGGATTTCAGCTTTCTGTGAATGGGTTTATGGAACAACATGAGCTACCTGAATTAGCACCCAAAATGCTTCAAACTTACATTTAGCATTCATAAATGCAGCCTCTATTGTCCAGCATCAGAGAGGCAGAAGAAAATAGTGGAGAAATTGACGCAGAAATATAAAAATATAAATAAAATGCAACCCCCAAATCACAGAGATATCAATTTGCTAAAGGCTAATATTGTACCAGGACCTCTGTGTAATTGTTACTTTATGAGCTGCGGATATGGCAGATTTACACAATATTAGGATCAGAGTACAAATTACTAGAGGTCTCTATGTTGTACTAATCCTCAGCTAATAGGGTTAAAGTAACAAATAACTGATGTTAAAGAGGCTCAGAGCAAAAGATATAACAATTATTATAACACCTACATAAGTGACCTCCTAACTTTACAGTTCCTCTCAACTGTATGTAGCATTTTAGCATCTTTCAGCTAATTGTTTTGGTTTTTATGGCCTGCAACCTCCATGGATTGAAAATTCTGAATAGAAAAGGTGTCTTATCCACACTTTAACAAAAATCCACTTTGTTGTGCTCTCTTCGTACATCCATGACACAATTTAGTAAGCTAATATGTTGTGTTAATGATGTTTAAAATGTCACTTTCATGGGTAGAGAACAAAAACAGAGATAGAAAATACTAGACTTCATTTCATCATGTGGACAAAAACGTGAATGCTAATGCTGTGCATATTTCAGGTGAGAATTAGCAGCTGTTTATTGCATGTTAGCAATAGCAACTTCTCAAGTGGTAAAAGTTTTGTCTTTACAGCTTGTTTTGCTGCCCCCAAGTGGCCAAAAAGAAGTATTGACGTAATTAATCTGAAAACACAAGATCTTTGGTTACTACCCAACATAGAGTCTACTACCCGCACTTTACACACTACATATATATTATATACTTGTTTTGATAAAGTTCTAACTTTTTCCTGCTGTTATGGGTTTTACACCCATCTACAACTTTGAGCTGCAAGGCAATTTACCTACTAATTACTTACATAATTAAATCATTATTTACATCTCATCAGGCATAAAATGGGTTGAGCAAAGAACCAAAAACGTAGTTTCATTTCATCTTGAAAATCTATTGCCGAAACAAGAGGAGATGGCATATTTTCTACTGAAAGCCTATATCAGCATAGATGTNGCAAAAAAACACCGCTGATGATTCAATCACCGAGGTCTGATCAAGGTCAGTTCAGCTTGAGGACGCATAGGAACCAGGTACATTTGTTCAGTCACAGTTGGAAATAAGGTTTTCTTTCTTTTCTACAGCTATGGAAACAAATGGACTGGACTACAAATATGGATACTACAGTGTGTCTGAGATGGGAAGATTTGACTTAACAGCCACTGAGATGAACAGCAGTAAAGGTCAGCTTATCTGGAACAAGAGAACAGGAGTCTCTGAATTACAAAATGACAGTAAATGTCACAGATAGAAAAACCTCTGTGTGTTTTTAGTGTAAGTAATGAAAGAGCTACGAGGCCAGAGGTACTTATACGTTTTTAAGCATTTTTTTTGTGTGAATGCGGGGATCACAGACGACAGAGAAGAAGATTTTTTTTTTTTTTTTTTTTTAATGACTGCATTTTTACTTTCTCTGGAAGCAACAGCTTGGCATATTGGACATCCTTTTAACACAGTCATGTCTTTTCATTCACTTAAAAGGGAGGATGAATCATAAAGAAATTCAACTCAGCATCTCAGGTAAGCTGAGACTCTACCTGTTTTACTCTTAGTTCTACACAGGTGTGATTTTCATATTTTCAGTCTGGCCATCGCTTGTCCCTTTACAGGGCACTCCTTAAAATACTTGGAAAATAAATATTTCAACCCTAGGGTGTTACTGAAGGACATTTCAAGATATTTAAATTTTTGTGACTTAAAAGAAAAAAAAAAAGAGTTGCAAATCATAATTAATATATTTTACCTTGCCCGTCAACGGTTAAAACAAAGGAAATTTAGAATAAATAAATAAAAGAAAAAGTAGAGAGAACTCACACTGCACAGGGAGAATATGTGAACTCCATGCAAATAGATTCCAGGAATTCTAGCCGCCTCGCAGCAAGAAGGTCGCCGGTTTGCGTCCTGGTTGGGGCACCGGGAAATCGCGTGGAGTTTACATGTTCTGCCCGTGCTGCGTGGGTTCTGTCCGGGTTCTCCGGCTTCCTCCTACAAGGTCCAAAAACATGTTGAGGTTAATTGGTGATTCTAAATTGTCCGTAGGTGTGAATGTGAGTGTGCTT